GTACGCCCTCGAAATTCCCAGAGTGCTTTCCGTAGGTCCATGCCCCACACTGATGTCCCTTTAAATAGTCCAATTTCCCACAGCCCATTTTCCTGAAAATATGGTTAATCCACTACCCACTGCCCATTAGTCAGTAAAAATCCAAACATATAGACTCTCACCATTGTTCAATTTTTCAGTCATTGCTAGGAAGACAACATGTAGTTCAGCATACTGTGCAGATCTGTTCTTGTCTTCCTCAATCAGGGTCTTGCCATTTACTGGTTTTAATACAGTGGCTTTCCATATCAAATGTTGTCCATATACCCTTAAACTGTCATCTGTGAACCAAGTTCTTTGCTGATCAGTAGGAAGTTGTTCATAGGGCAACGTCCATCTGACAATGGGCTCTGGCAGCCTCTCCAAAGGTTCTAGGATAAGACCACTGGGAAATGAGGCTACTTGCTCGTGGAAATGGTCAGAACCTCCCACATTCCCCCAGTAGCTCATTATTAGATAAACCATTTCCATTTTCTCAGAGTTGTTTTGGGCACCTCCTTCTTTATTTCTGTGTTTCTTCAGCATCACTTATGACACGATGGATATTTAGGGTCTCCAATCATCTTATGTATTCTGTCACTACAGATTGAAAAGATACAGAGATAGGAGGTATCCCTGGCATACAACTTTCCTGATTTTGAACTATGAAGTGTTTCCTTGCTCTGCTCTGACAACTGCCTCCTGGTCCAAGTATAGTCACATATGCACAATCAAGTGTTCTGAGATTCCCATTCTTCTTAGAGGTAGCTACAGTTTGTTGTGATCCACACAGTCAAATGCCTTTGCATAGTCAATGAAACACAGATAGACATTCCTCTAGTACTCTCTGCTTAGAGCTAAGATCCATATAACAGCTATAATATTCCTAGTGTCACAGCCTGCACACCTGGCAGTTCTTTGTTGATGTGCAATTCAAGTGATTTCTGGAAAAATTTCAGCAGGATCGTGCTTGCATGTGATACTGTTTGATAATTTCCATACTCTGTCGAGTCACCTTTTTTTGGAATGGGAACAAATATGGATCTCTTCCAGCCACCAGGCCATGTTGTTGTCCTCCAGATTTCTTGGCATAACTTGTTGAGTTATGCCATCCAGGGCAATGTCTGTTTGTCGAAATACATCAATTGGTATGCCATCAATTCCTAGGGCGTTTTTTTTGCCTATTCCTTCAGACCAATCTGAACTTCTTCCTTCATAAGTTGTTTCATGAAATACTTCTGTGTTAGCCAGTTCTTTTTGATACAGTGACTCTGTGAACTTCTTCCATCTTCTTCTGATGCTTTCTGAGTCATCCAACACTCTTGCCCACAGCATGGGCACAGTACTGTAACTCAAGACTTGAATTTGTTCTTCAGTTTCTTCAGCTTAAGAAATGCCAAGTGAGTTCATCCCTTTTGATTTTACAACTCCAGTTCTTTGTACATTTCATGATAATTCTTTGCTTTGGCTTCCTGTGCTGCCATTTGAAATCTTCCGTTCAGGTTCTTAACATCTTGACTTCTTCCCTTTGCTTTGGCTTCTCGGTGCTCTAGTGTAATATTGAGTCTCTTCTGACATCCAATTTGGTCTTCTTCCTCCATCTTTGTAATGACCTCTTGCATTTTTCATGGATGATATTCTTGATAACCTCCCACAGCTCATCTGGTCTTCACTTATTAGTATTCAAGGCCCCAAACCTGTTCCTGACATGGTTTTTAACTTCAGGAGGGACAGACTCAAGTCAAACTTTGGTTCTTGTGGATTTTATTTTCTTTAGCTTCAATTTTTTTTTTTTATTATTTGTGTGTGTGCGTGTACCGTCAAATCAGATCTGACTGGTACAGGAGGAGATTGTCCCTCCTTTCCCGGCAGAGCATCTGTTTAGCTTCAATTTGAACTTGCATACAAGTAGTTGCTGATCTGATCCACAATCATCACCTGGTGTAGTTTTGCACAGCTGATATTTAGCTTCTCCAATGATTTTTGCACAAGTGTAATCAATCTTATTCCTGTGTAGGCCATCAGGTGAGATCCATGTGTATAATCACCACTTTGTTTCTTATAAAAGGTATTGCAATGAATAAATCATTGACTGTAGATGTGGAACAGATCATCCAGGAGCATAGGCCCTAGGAAGAGGAATGTGACATCAGGATTGGAGGAAGACTCATCAACAACCTATGTTATGCAGATGATACAACTCTGCTTGCTGAAACTGAGGAGGACTTGAAGTGCTTGCTGCAGAAGGTCAAGGACTGCAGCCTTCAATATGGATTGAAGCTCAACATCAAGAAAACAAAGATTCTCACCGCTGGACCAACTAGCAGCATCACCAAAGACAGTGAAGTAAATAAACCGGTCACAAAATGGGCACAAGATATGAATAGACCCATCTCCAAAGAAAACCATCGCATGGCAAACAAACACATGAAGAAATGTTCAAAATCCCTAACTCTCAGAGAGATGCAAACAAAAACAACTAGGATATACCATCTTACCCCAGCAACAAAGTGAAGTTCAAGAGGGCAGCAAACAGCAAATGTGGGTGAGGGTATGGAGAGATTGGAACTCTTATTCACTGCTGGTGGCAATGTAAACTGGTACAACCATTATGGAAGGAGGTATGGTACTTTTTAAAAAATCTAGAAATAAAAATATCATTTGACCCAGCTATCTCACTAATGGAAATACATCCTAAAGAAATCAGAGTCATGACATAAAGAGATCTATGCATACCCATGGCATTATTCACAATGGCAAAGAGATGGAAGCAACTCAACTATCCATCAATAAACCAATAAAAAGAAAAACTGTGATATACACAATGGAATATTATGGAGCACTGAAAAACAATAAACATATAACACTATACAACATCAGTGAGTCAGGAAGGCATTATGCTGAGTGAAATATCTCAGTCACAAAAGGACAAATATCACATAACACCCCTCTTATAAAATAAGACTAACATGGGGAGTTAGGGGGAGAACAGGAAAAGAATGGATAGATAATGAATACTGCACTGGAACAAATAAGGAGAAGGACTGTCTCAGGGAATATGTGATTGAGCATTGTCTGTGTGACAACTGACAATATGAAACAAGAGGTACATTATCAAATACACTGGGGTAGGGGAAAGGAAGAAAGAGGGGCAAAACGTGCAACAATTAATGAATGGAAACTCAACCTTTCTGTAAACTTTCATCAAAATAACAAATAAAAAAATTTAAATTCTATAAATTAAAAAAAAATTTAAAAGTATTAATCTCTACTGAAGCAGAAATGAAACAAAGGGGGCATGAATTTGGTCCAAACTCACATGTCAGATTCCAAGAAAATCAGTACAACAATTTTCATTACAGTTCTGTTCACAATAGCCAAAATACAGAAACAACTCAAATGCCCATCAAGAATGAATAAACTATAGTATACAAAAACTATATGAAGAGCAATGATATCAGGCTGGAGACTAAGGTGCACCTGATCCAGGCTATAGTCTTTGCAATTACGTGCTATCTATTGGTGAGTTGGACAGTGAATAGGGATGACAGAAAGAGAATTAGTGCCTTTGAGCTGTGGTGCTGGAGAAGAGTGCTGAATATACCATGGACTGCTAGGAGAACAAACAGGTGTTTCCTGGAGAGGGTGAAGACAGAGTGCTCCTTGGAGTCAAGGATTCTGAAGCTTCGTCTGACATACTTTGGGCATGTTGCAAGGAGAGACTGGTCCTTGGCGAGGGACATCATGTTTGGGAGAGTGGAAGGATGGTGCAGGAGAGGAAGACCCTCGATGAGATGGATTGATTCTGTGAGTGGAGTGGTGGGAATTAATGTGCTTGAGACAGCGAGGTTGGCACAGGATAGAATGGCATTTAGGGCTCTTGTACATAAGGTCACTATGAGTCGCAAGTGACTTGATGGCACATAACAACAACACAACAACATACAACAATACAATGGATTATTACTCAACCATAAAAAGAAATGAAGTCTTGACACATGCTATAACATGGATGAAACTTTGTTATATTAAATAAATCAGGCACAGAGGATATTTTGTTAAGATCTCACTCATATGAAATAAGTAAATGCATAGAGTTCAAAGTTTATTAGAGGTTAGAAAGAGTGAGAAAAAGAAAGAGGAAGTTTTTGCTCAAAAGGCACTGAGTTTTTCCTAAGTCAGTGGAATAATTTGGAAACTTAATGGTTTCACAACACCGCAAGTGCAACCAACTACTATAATTGAATTGTACATATAAAATGTTGAACTAGCAAATGTTTCAGGATATATTTTACTGAAATAAAACTGAAAGGAAAGGAGAAAAGAAAGGAATAGAGGTGGAAGGAAGGAAAAAGCAAACAGTTCAGCAATGATGATTTTCCAAAGACCAGAAACAGCCTGTGGTTGTTGTTAGGTGCCATGGAGTCAGCTTAGACTCAAAGCAACTCTGTGTATAACAAACATTGCCCAGTTCTGCACCATTCTCACAATGGTAGCTATGTTTGAGCAAGCACTGTTGCAGCCACTGTGTCTGTTAAAAGCGTAGATTCTTCATAAGCCAAAAGCCTATTCTTATATAAAAATTTTCCCAAGTGAAAGAATTATAGTGTCCTATGAAAGTACAAGCTAATCACGTAAGCAATGAGAAACATTAAGTTTCTTAATTATCTGTAGACTGTGATAACAGAGAATCCAGAGAATAAAAACACCTTCATGCCACTCCCCCATCCAAGTCTCTAATGGTCCAGCCAAGGCGGGGCGGGGGGGTGGGAGAGGGAATGAATACAATCAACAGTTTTTAAAAGTCCATACACTAACATTCCTTTCATAATTTCATAATTTCTTTCTTAGTTGGTTAGAATGCTGGTTCTCTAAATACTTTCTTTAAAAGAAACAAAATGTACTTTAAAGGTATAAAATGTACTCATTATCAACAACTGTTAGTCAGATATTAGATAACAGTTGAAAGAGAAAATTCTTACCTCTTTAGCCAATTCTGATTTGAGCTCTTCTGGGTCCAACACATCTATTCTGAGTTTCTCAAAATTCTCCCGGAACTCAGAGTAGATTTGGTCATCCACTTTGGTGAGTTTCAGGAACTGTGGATCAACTGATGAAATGAGCTGCCAGACCACAAGACAATATGTAGGTGCTAGTCTCTGATTTGCTACACATAAACAAACCCTCTTTTCCCAGACCACCATTATAGTTCTCAAAGTAGAGACTGAATTAGAATACAAGAGAATTATAGAGGGTCATAATCTATCACAGTCCCTTTCATAAATTCAAACCACTTTGGCCCTAGTATTGACTGGCTGCTGTCCTCTGTGAACCACCATTCATTCATTCATTCAACAAACAATTATTAAGTGTCTACTATGGGCCACACTAAGGCACGGTCTAAAATGCTAACAAGCAATGATGTCAGTGTAAGACTAAGGTGCACCTGATCCAAACCATGATGCTTCCAATTACTTCCTTGCTTGTGAAAATTGAACAATGAATAAAGATGGCATAAGAATTGATGTTTTTGAGTTGTAGTGTTGGAGGAGAGTACTGAATATTTCATGGGCTGTCAAAAGAACAAACAAGTGTGTCTTAGAAGTGTAACCAGGGTGCCTCTTAGGGTCAAGGATGGTAAAACTTTGTCTTACATTTTGGGCATGTTGTCAGAAGGGGCTAGTCAGAAGGGAATATTATGTTAGGAAAGTCTGAGGGTCAGAGAAAGTGAGGAAGACCATCAACAAGATGGCTAGACATGATGTCTGTAACAACGATCTCAAGCATATCGGATATTATAAGCATGGCTCAGGATAGAGCATGGTTCAGATCTGTTGTTCAGTTGTATTAGACTTGATGCTCAGTCATATTAGACGTGATGGCAGTTAACAACAACATGGGTCACAAGCTCTTTTGCCAGTTAGTAATAGAAAACTGGGGCACAAGAGCAAAACCCCTCATTACTAAGCCAAATTCAGAGTTGGACAATGACGAAGGATGACAGAAGAAGAATAGATGCCTTCAAGTTGTGGTGCTGGAGAAGAGTCTTGAACATACCATGGACTGAAAAGAAAACAAATAGGTCTGTCTTGGAAAGAGTGAAAACAAGTCTCTCCTTGGAGGCTAGGATTTTGAAGATCCGTCTCACATACCTTGGGCATGTGGCCTTGGAAAAGGACATCATGCTCGGAAGAGTGAATAGACAGCACAGGAGAGGAAAACTCCAGATGAGATGGATTGATACAGTGACTAGGGCAATAGGGGTTGGTGTGTCAGGATTAGTGAGAATGGCTCAGGACAGGGCAGGCTTCAGAGCTGCTGTACATACAGTCATTATGCATCACAGGCAACTCAACAGCTCATACTATGACAGGTTTGGAAGCAGAGTGGTATTCACTTCCTACACAACATGCCTCCAGAAACTCTATGAACTTTGATAAATATCTTTAGTTGTAGAGGGCTTCAGGCCTTTTGTTCACAGGGTTGCTGTGAGTTGTGCTCGACTTGAAGGCAATCAACAACATTGCCTCTGTGGAGAAGATCTATTATTAATAAAATCAACTTCAAAACACAACTGCTAAAAAAAAAAACCACAACTGCTTAACTTGCTGAAAATAATGCTTAGTAAAGTAACATACACTATAATTATGGGTTTAATTCTGTTTAATAAACACTCACTTTGTAGTAGATTTCAGCATGCTGCATTGCTCTCATGGCCCAAGCCATCTCAATGCCAGGCTGCAAAGAATTAAAGAATGTCAGGTCAGTTACTGTAAAAATAGAAGGGAAACAAATAAAACATGTATGAGAACCCAAGGGGGTAAGGGGTAGGAGCAGAGGGGAGAGGATGGGTGGGGGCAAAACCACAGGGTTGCACAATTTGGTGGGTGAAGGAAATGGAAAGAATCCAAGTCCAATGGTGACTGATTTTATAAAACATAATGCATGGGAATGATTGAAACACAGTATGAATGAAGAATAGTGTGAAACACAATGTATATAAACTTTGTGAGCAAACCAATATAAAATTAAAAAACAAAAAGAATGTCAGGTCAGGAATCTCCCAATGGATGACAAATGAAGGAAGTCTGTGGATATATAGTAAATGTTCGAGAGGTCCACTAGACTTTGTATCAAAAGGTAGAAACTAGACTTCATAGTCTAGTTTCATAATTTCATAATTTGAGTAGAATTGGTTTTTCTTTATAACAACCAAAAGAAGCTACTCACACTGTCTAATAAATAAAATGGGTTAGTGGAAATCTTTCACCAGCCGCTAGTTAAAGCACAAGAGGGATAAATTACCTTCCTAGGACTGAGTTAAATCAAACTAACATGCCAACCTCTACCATTGAGCTGTCAAGAGGTCAAAGACAAGGGAAGTGAAATTATTTTTCACTTTTAAGAGTCTAACATGTCACAAAATCCCTGAATAGCACAAATGATTAAATGGTGGACGACTAATTGAAAGACTGGCGATTCAAATCCCCTCACAGGCCCTTCAGAAGTAAGGCCTAGCAACCAGCTTTCAAAAGGTCACAAATCTCTGGAACCCTAGTCTGACCATATGTAGCGACCATTAGCTGGAAATGATGTAACAGCAACAACCGGTTTTTATCATTTGTGTTTCCATTCTACAACACCTAGCAATAAAACATGAAACAGGTAAGTATATAAGTAAGCCACCTGTTTCACAGGAATCTCTAATTCCAACTAGAGTTATTTCACTAACCCTTAATAAAATGTATTTGCATTCTTACCTCTGTGCCTTTGATACAACACTTACTAGCTGCATTACACTTCCCTGTCAAGTCAGTACATTCCTTTGTCCTTTGTCGACTTATATTTTGAAGATTCTGTTCAAGCTCGACTTCCTAGATGAAGTCATCTACTGCTTCCAGTATTTTAAGGGTCCCTTTGGCTAAACTCTCAGTCTTACAGTCTCACCCACTAATCTATCATATCAATCCAATGCCAGAAGGTCGGTTCCTACACGTGGAGCTAAGCTTTTGGTTAGCAAGTCAATACTCTGCACCCTAAACAACCAAGGGTATTATTACCACGCACACATCCCTGTATTGTTTCTCTTGGAGCATGTGTTTTCTTTCTTCTTAAGGCTGTGAACTAGACACATCCAAAGCGTAAATCTGCTGCACATTGCAAAACCTTAAAAAAAGGGGGGAGATTCTTGTTTCCAGATACTTCTGATTTAACTGGTATGGACTGAGATCCCAATATCGAGATTTTTTGTTTTGTCTTTTAAAAGATCTCAAACTGATTCCAGAAAGTGCAGCAAAGTTTTGAGAACCACTTTCACTGAAGATAGCGCTGTTTGTGAACCAAAAAATATTAGAATCTTTTCTAAAAGTGAAAGAAAAGGTAGTTTATAATCTATTTGGAAAGGATCAGAAGATGTCGTCCGGGAAGGAGAATCTTATTTAATGGCAGGCCCTTCAGAAATGGTAGGAATTGCGGATGAATCATACTCACATCGTTACCATAAGATTCTGCTGGAAGAGAAAGCGCATGTACCACCGACATCAGCTTCCCCGAAACCTGGGGAGGGAGGGGGAAAAGCGTTCAAAGCTTGACTAGGCTCGATTTCTCCACACACCCTACCCCAAAGCAGCGTCTCACCGGCTCATCGGACACTCCAGTCGTCTCCATCTTGCAGCCCAGCAAACGTGGCTTGGCCTCCCGGAAGTGATTTTTTTTTTTTTTTGTGGGGTGTGTGTGTGTATGTGTGTGTGTGTTCCTCCCTTGACTGCGTCTGCGTGCACCCATAAGCATCCACAGGCACTGGCGCCACCCTCACTACTTGCGCAAGCGCAGAAGTAGCATTTTCGTTTCCCTTAAATTGAGACATCCGAGGTGTTGGTTGTTCAGTGTAGTGGAATCTAGTGCAACTTGGAGACCCTAACAGCAGATCCATCCTCACAATATCTGACTCACTCGTTCCCATTGCTGGTCACTGTGTCAACCCACCTGGTTATGTGTTTTCCTCTCTTTCGCCGCCCCTCTCTACCTTTCCAAGCATGATGTCCTTCTCCACGGAATAGGCTCTCCTAACAACTTGCCCAAAGTATGTGAGACTAAGCAGTCCGGTAATGCCAAAGGTGGTGGTGGTTATGTGTAATCGAGTCGTTTGCGACGACAGCTCTGAACCCTGCTCTATCCTGTGCCAACCTTATCTCTGACACGCCTACCCCCATTTACCTAACCCGTCATTTAAATCAATCCATCTTATCAAGGGTCTTCCTCTCTTGTGCTGTCCCTCCACCCTCCCAAGCATGATATCCTTCTCCAAGGACTGGTCACTCCTTGCAACATGCCCAAAGTATGTCAGACAAAGCTTCAGAATCCTTGCCTCTAAAGAAGAGCCTGGTTTCACCCTCTCTAGGATGAGCCTGTTGGTTCTCCTAGTAGTCCATGGCATATTCAATACTCTTCTCCAACACCACGGCTCAAAGGCATCAATTCTCCTATCATCTCTAGTCATTGTCCATACATAACAAGTAATTGCTATGTATATACCTTAGCCATACCTTTGTCTCCAAACTGACATCGTTGCTCTTCAGTACTCTGGAGAGGTCCCTGACAGCTGACTTTCTCAAAGCAATTAATCTTTCTTGGAAAATCCTGAGTAAAGTAATGGGGTTTTCATATCCCTTCCTCTCTGTGTGGCCTGCAAAAAACTGAATTCATGCGTTCCATGTGAGGCACACACCCCCTCTAGTGCTCAGGGCGTAAATTACAGTCAAGGTGCTAGACAGTGGAGTAGAGAGATAAAGAATTTAGTCTCTGCCTTAAAAGGACTGGATATAGTGATGAAACAGATGGAATGTGTTGTTGTTGTTGTTGTTATGTGCCGTCGAGTCGCCTGCGACTCATAGGATGTAGTGGCCATAAAATAGCATCATATAAAAAGGGAGCTAGAAGAAAGAAAGCCTAGGCTAAGGCATGAAGGATAGTTAGCAAAGGAGGTAGGGAAAGAGATACTCCAGGAATAAATGATATCATATTCGAAGTTCATTAATTATTTAAATATCATGCAACATATTAAGAATTGCAAAAAAAAAAAAAGTATAGCTAGCGTCACCATGGTCTCCTGCTTCAACAGTGCTTGAACGGAATGCGGTGCTTGCCAGCGTCTCCCCCGCAGGTAATTTCCAGCCAGTCCTCCGCCATCTCCTCACATCAGCACCCTCAGATACCCCAAGGTCCTCGCCTCCCCTCCAGCACCGCGCAGCCCCCGCCTCTCCGCCAGCACCGTGCAGCCGCTACCATTACTGCGTCCCCTTCTCAGGTGTGCCAGAACTACAGTCAGGATTCGGAGGCCGCTATCAACCGCCAGATCAACCTGGTGCTCTATGCCTCCTATGTCTACCTGTCCATGTCTTACTACTTCGACTGTGATGATGTGGCTTTGAAGAATTTTGCCAAATATTTTCTCCACCAATCCCTCTAGGAGAGGGAACACACTGAGAAAGTGACGAAACTGCAGAACCAGTGAGGTGGCTGCATCTACCTTCAGGACAATAAGTAAACAGACCGGGATGACTGGGAGAGCGGGCTGAACACAATGGAGTGTGCGCTACACTTGGAGAAAAGTGTGAATCAATCCCTACTGGAACTGCACAAACTGGTCGCTGACAAGAACGACTCTCATTTGTGTGACTTCATTGAGACACATTACCTGGATGAGCAGGTGAAATCCATCAAACAACTGGGTAACCAACTTGCACAAGATGTGTGTGTGTGTGCGCGCGCACACACACACACTCCTGGGCCTGGCACAGTACCTCTTTGACAAGCACACCATGGAAGACAGTGATGGTGAGACCTGAGTGAAGCTTTAGCCCAGCTTCCCCACAGCCACAGGGATGACTCCATGGTCACTACCAGGCCACCTGCATGTCTTGTTTATTTTACCTTTTCTGTAAATTGTACCAAAATACCCACTTAAGTTCTTACATTTGTACCATTCCTTCAGATAGTCATTTGGTACTCAGCTGTTATGTTGGAGATCCTAGTGGGCCAGAAGTCTGTCTAAGCCATCTTGGCTAAATTCTTTAATTACCAAGATGTCTGCTTCAATCACATTTAATAAAATGAAACTTACAAGGAAAAAATTTTAAAAAATATAGCTAGAACAAGAGTGCAGTATCTATAATTCTTTGGAGGAGCATAGAGACTTCATATGGCTGAGTATTCAGGAGTTGAACTTTACCTTGAAAAGCAATGGTAAGCTGATGAAGCCTTTTTTTAAATGTTATTATTAATTTCAATGAAAATTTACAAAGACTGGATTTCCATTGTTGCACTTTTCTCCCCTCCTAACTCTCCCCCCTAGTACACTAGTACAATGAGAAGTTCTTTCATTGTTTTACAATCCCTCCCCCCAGGTCCACTCCACTCTGGAGCCTTCGCTCTGGACTCCTGTCATGACAAAAATACCTAATAACATATCCCTTTTAAACCGTTTTCTCCCTCATCTGTTTCAATACAGTATACATTATTGAACCCATCTTCCTCAGTCTCTCCCCAACCCCGAGGTCAGTCCTGTTTTGCAACAGTGGCACCACGCAGTATTAGTCCTTTTGTGATTGAGATCTTTGACTCAGCATAATGTCCTCCAGGCTCACCCATTTTGAATAGTATTATATGAGTTCCTTGTTTTTCAATGCAGCATAGTATTGATTGTGTGAATATACCACAACTCCTCTATCCATTCATTTGTTGATGGGCACCTAGGTTGTTTCCAACTCCTTGCTGTTGTGAACAAAGCCACGATAAACATGGGTGTGCATATATCTGCTTGGATGTCAGTTATGGTCTCTTTGGGGTATGTTGCCAGTAGAGGAATTGCTGGGTCAAATGGTATCTCTATTTGCAACTTTTTGAGAAAGCGCCACACCGCCTTCCACAGTGGTTGCACCATTTTACACTCCCACCAACAGTGAATAAGGGTTCCAGTCTCTCCACAACCTCGCCAGCATTTGTTGCTTGCTGTTCTGTTAAATTTTGCTATTTGGACTGGGGTGAGATGGTATCTCATAGTTGTTTTGATTTGCATCTCTCTTAGAGCTAGGGATTTTGAACATTTCTTCGTGTGCTTGTTAGCCATCTGAATGTCTTCTTTGGTGAAGTGTCTGTTCATATCCTGTGCCCAATTTTCAATTGGATTATTTACCTTGATCTTGTTGTGGTGTTCAAGTATTTTATAAATTCTGGATATAAGTCCCTTATCTCACATACCATTACCAAATACTTTTTCCCAGTTCTTGGCTTCCCTTTTTACCCTGTTGGAGAAGTTTTTGGATGTGCGTAGGGATTTGATTCTTAGAAGGTCCCATTCATCTATTTTATCTTCTTCTGGTTGTAGGTTGATGAAGCCTTTTACGTAGACAATTCTCATGATCAAACTTTTAGGAAAATCATTTTAGAAGATTGAGTTAAAGAAGGCAATATTGGGGGCAGAAAGACCAGAGAGAAGGCATTGGGTGATGAAACCCTAAACCAATGCAGTGGTTGTTGAGATGAATGTTCAGAATCACTAAGGAATGTAGAAGTAATAGTATTGTCTGGCTAATAGCATTAGGCATGTTGAGGATAATTAGGATTACAGTATGACTCCCCAGATTCAGACTCGACTTTGAAGTATCACTAAGCTAGAAAACACAGAAGGCTGAGGGGGAATGAGTTTAAGGATTTGGATCTGAAGAGCTGTTAGATCATACAGATAGAGTTGAACAAGCAGAGAGAGTTCTCATTAGGTGTAAAAATTTCTTTGAACTTTCATAAGAAAACTTTAAAGAAAACAAAGAGCAAAAAGTCAGGGATAGAGCCATCTGTGAGCAATGAAAGCATAGAACTAAGGGAGAGTGTCACAGAAACGAAAAGATTAAAGAGGTTCCAGGAAGGAATTGTGAAATGTGTCAGAGAGCATGAGATGAGCACACTAACCTCAGAAATGTTGGAAGATCATTGACATTCTTAGCAAGAGTAGTTTTAGTGGAACTGGAGTGTGGAAGCAACAGTCAGATTGCAATGATTTGAGGAAGGAACAAGGCATAAAGAAGAAATGAGTTGCTATAGAATGTTCTTCCAAAGGTTTACATCGAGAAGAAGACATGAAGACTAGAAACTTTTACATTATTGTTAGCTTAGGCTTAGGAAGACAAAAGAATATTGGGGGGAAAATCAGCTTTATACTGTAGACTGTTTCTGTAGGCAAATCTAGGTGTACAGAGAAAATAAAACAAGGCCTCAAATGCAGGAAATTGAGAATGTTCTCTTTAGAAACCATATGTTTTGTCTATAATGTAGAAGAAGACAGCTAAGAGCAGGAAAGGATGTGTCTTATCTTGTGTAGACTCTTGGAATTTTAACTATCAGCATTACATAATTTAGATATATAACATAAAATGGGGTAAAAGAGAGTCATAAAGTTGTTGAATATAAAATTCTCTGTGACAAGGCAGGTGGGTGAGTGCTGCTATTTGCAGGCTGTGGAGAAATGTAGATACTCCTTAAGATCGTGAAACATTATCACAGTGGCTTTAAGATTATATTTACTTACTGCCATTCCAACCCATAGCAGCCCTCAGTTAGATTTGGTCTTGTTGCTATTCTTAAGTGCCATATAGTTGGCTATGACTCACAGA